CCAGATGAAGGTTCCCTCTGATGGGTCCCCCAGAACCTCTTGTTTTTGTGTTTGTGGTGCTAGAGAATAAACCCAGAGGCTTGTGCTTGCTAGGTAAGAACTTCACTGTCAGCTATACTCTCCTGTTTTCGTCTTCTGTAATACAAATGGAGCATAGGACTTTTAGTATGTTAGTGTGCAAGGCAAATGACACAGCCCTGTTCCTTCTTTCTAATAAAATAGGCACCTATCTTTCCAGTGGCAAGCAAGTACCTTAAAGCACCTAATGGGGTGGGGGGCTGTTTTTTCTCATATACACCATGGATCCATTTTCTTCCCACATGGACAGATTTGTTGATACAATCAGTAAGCCAAGAATAATGGGGCATAGGATGTGGTGGGGGTGTATTTATTTTTAGGGTTTTTTTGGTGGGGGGGGTTGGTTTTTGTTTGTTGGGTTGGTTTGGTTTGGTTTGATTTTGGTTTTTTGAGACAGGGTTTCTCTGTGTAGCTTTGGAGCCTGTCCTGGAACTAGCTCTTATAGACCAGGCTGGCCTCGAACTCACAGAGATCCACCTGCCTCTGCCTCCCAAGTGCTGAGATTAAAGATGTGTACCGCCACCACCCAGCAAAATTTGTTTTTTAAAGATTTGTTTATTTATTTATTTTATGTGTCTGAGTTCTGCATCTGCATGTATGCCTTTATGCCAGAAGAGGGTGTCAGATCCCACCAGAGATGCTTATGAACCACCATGTGGTTGCTGGGAATTGAACTCAGGACCTCTGAAAGACCAACACCTGAGCCATCTCTCCAGCCCTAAAATTTGTTTTTTTAAAAGCATAATTAAGTGTAATTTTTATGTATACTATATGAGTTATAGCAGTCCAGAAGTTAATTTCAATTTTATAAGAGGATAAAATAAGGTAAGTTAGGCTAACTAAACGGAAGGAAGGAAGGAAGGAAGGAAGGAAGGAAGGAAGGAAGGAAGGAAGGAAGGAAGGAAGGAAGGAAGGGGAAAGAGTGATGCAGTGTGGTAGTGGCCCTTACAGAGAATATATTTCACTAAAGTGAATTGTGTCTCCATATGTGTAGAAGTACAGTGACATACCTCTTCGATTTCTAGGTTGCTAGGTTTTACAAAGCAGAAAAATACAGTTTGTAGTAATTGAGTGAAGCAGTGTTTCCTTAAGTCACATAACATATAAACAAATGAATAAATGAACAAGTAAATAAATAAGTAGAGCCACAAATTCTTTTCTCCAGTTTAAATGTAAATGTCTTAAAAGTATATAACAGATTATAGAGGCTTTTAAAAAATTGTCTCCATTGTTTTGTGAGGAATTATTGATTTGTATCTTTGAATTTGAATTTTAAAATAACACTGCTTAAGTATGCCCTGATTTGGTATGGCAAGATGGCTCAAGGCATGAAGGCACTTCCAGCCAAGGCTGATAACCTGAGGTCCATCCTTGGTTCCAATGTAGTAGAAAAAGAGCCAACTTCATTATTATCCTTTGATATAATGAATATATCCTTTGATATACCACACATGAGGTATGACACATGCACACAAAATAAAATGAACAGGGACTGCAGAGATAACTCAGCAGTTAGGAGCACTATCTGCTCTTCCAAAAGTCCTGAGTTCAATTCCCAGCAACCCCATGGTACTCTATCCTGGCCTGCAGGCATACATGCAAGTAGAATACTGTATACATAATAAATAAATAAATCTTTTTTTTAAGTAAGTAAAACGAATCAAGTGTTTTGTTTTGTTTTTTAAAAAAGAGAGTCCTGATCTCCAGAAACTCAAGGTTACATTCTTTCATATAAAAGATGTAGAGTAGCCAGCCACCTGGTCCTTAGTGTCTGCATCAGAGTGTGGTGTGTGCATAGGCAGGATCAGCTGTGGCCATAGAGCTAGCAGTTCATTGAAATGCGTGAATACCAACTCAGCACTCTGGTTATCCTGGTGTGGGTTGAGGTCAGGTATTTTACCAAACGCCTACCTGGTTATAACAATTTTTTTCCTTTAATGTATTATGCAAGACTTACTGATAAGAAGCCACTTCTTTTAACTGGAACACAGATAATTACTAGAGAGCTCTGGCCACTGATTGAGGCTGAAGGTAAGCAAAGGGAGCCAGAGTAACTGAGGAGGGAAAGCGGAAAAATGAAAGGAAATAAAAAAGGTGGCAGCAGCAAGCTCTCAGAGAGCTGTTCCTCGCTGCTTTATGTGCTATTGTGAGTCAGAGTTGTGAGGAGCCTGTGCCTTTTGTGTATTCAGTTTCTTTCTTTAATGGAACAGATGCATGGCTCTCTACAGTTAGCATATAATTGGTGATGATTAACATGAACGTACGTGTTGTCTTTGGTGATTTATTACTCCGTGCTAAACTCTTACTTAGAATATTTGTATGCTACATGAACATTGTCTCACTCAGTGGATTTCCCCTAAAAACAGTCCCCAAGAGAATCTACAAGCAAGGTGTTTTACTAATTGTTAAGAAATATTTTTCTCGAATGGCATTTTTATAAATCAGAACATCAGGAAGCATTTCTAGTGAGAATGGCTCAGTATGATCATATATATTCATTAGATTGCAGCTTGTCTCATCTTCTGGCTTGGGCTGTTGTGTGTTTCATCTTCTCCAGTACTATTGGACTTAAACATTGCTGAGAGCAGGAATAGTTTAACTTGCTTGCTGTGCCAGGTTGGTTTAATTAGATTTTAATGCTATCTTACAGACATCAACTAGTCAGGCTGTCTTCCGTCTCCAGTCCGGCATCTGCCATCTCTTCCGAGAAACATTAATTAACAAAGGTTTTGTGGAAATCCAAACTCCTAAAATTATTTCAGGTATGTTTCAAGATGTATTCTGTAATTTAAATCCCCCCCAGTGTTGCTTAAGTTAATTTTTAAATAACAATAATAACTGAAATAATTCCAAGAGTCCCTTAAGATTTAGTGCTATGGACTTATTTATTTCAAGGACAATAATACCATCTACAGTGTTCCATTTTCTTCCTTCAACAGTCACTTTGTGGTAATGATAAGGAAATGAAGCAGTAACAAAGCACGATTCCTACACTGAAAGTTAGGCCATGGGTATTTTTATTATGTTACTTTCCATCAAAATTGGCACAACAGTTTGGTTTTATATAAACTTCGTTGTAAAAATCACCAAATACCTGTTGACGTCATTCTTGCCTGAGAATCTTGTCTTGATCATTTTACCCTTTTAGAATTGCTTACATAACACTTAAAAGATGAGTTACAAATAGTGTTCTAGCTGTTCCTGCTGGCTAACAAATCCCAGCATTTTGGAGGAAGAGGCAGGTGGAGCTCTGTGAATTCAAGGCTACATAGCAAGTCCAGGCTAGCCAAGACTGCATAAAGAGAGCTTGTCTCAAAAGATCATCATCATCATCACTATCATCATCATCATTGTAGGACTTAGTGGGTAAAGGGCTTGCCTTGCCACTACCACTAAGCCTAACAATGTGAGTTCAAATCCCCAGGACACATAGAAGGAGAGAACCAACTTTGAAAAGTTTCCTCTGAGCTTCACATGCACTTCTAAAGGCAAATGTGTACACTGATTTAAAAAATACATTAAAAGAATGTTATTAATGGGGCTGGAGCGGTAGCTCAGTTGAAGAGCACTTGTTGCTATTGCAGGGGACCCAGGTTCAGTTTGTAGCATCCACAGTATCTCAGAATCATCTGTAACTCTAGATTCAGGAGATCCAGTGCCTTCTTATGACGACCTCTGGTACAAGGTATGCATATGATACACATACACACATGTAGGCAAAACAATATACAGAATTAAATTAGTAAAAGAATAGTGTTTAGATATAGATAAAAAAAATTAAACATCACCTTCTCACAATTAGAAAAATAATTAAGAGAGCAGCCTTACAAGGTGAGAGCCTATCTCAGATAAAATGGAAGGAATTTTTTTTTTTTTTTCTTTTGAGACAGGGTTTCTCTGTAGCTTTGGAGCCTGTCCTGGATCTAGCTCTTGTAGACCAGGCTGGTCTCGAACTCACTGAGATCCGCCTGCCTCTGCCTCCCAAGTGCTGGCATTAAAGGTGTGTGGCACTACCATTGCCCAGCTGGAAGGGAATAATTTTTTTCCTTTTATTTATTCATTTAGTTATTACAGTCTTAAGCTAATAGATAAGAAATTGATTCAGAAAAAGGGAATGTTTACTTGATTTTCTAGGTCTTCTTTTTTTCTCTAAGTGAACTGCTTTTTTTTTAACCTAAGAATTATATGAATTAACATTCAATTGACTATAATAATACAAATGTTTGTATTTCAGCTGCCAGTGAAGGAGGAGCCAATGTTTTTACTGTGTCCTATTTTAAAAATAATGCCTACCTTGCTCAGTCCCCACAACTGTATAAGCAGATGTGCATCTGTGCTGATTTTGAGAAGGTTTTCTGCATTGGACCAGGTAAGATATTGTCATTTATGTGTTTACTAATTGTAAAATTATGTAGAGTTAAATAGTTGAATTAAACCTATTAATTACAGAGTAGTTATAATATTAGAAACACTAGCATTTAGATCCTTTGAAAGCTTAAATCCATTTATCTGCTGATTATATAATAAAATTTAAGAGCTAGTGATGCACTTGGCTCAGTGATAGGGCATTTGTTATGTTAGTATGTTCAAGACTCTCAGTTCAATTCCACAAAAACCAAAAAGAAAAAAATACTAAAAAGTAGAAATGACAGCATGTGTGTGAGATTATAGATATGTGTTTTAAAAATACATGATTTGAGGACTAGTCAGGTGATAGACATCTTTAATTTCAGGCCTCGGCAGCAGGTGAATCTTAGTGAGTTCCCTTACACTTGCTGGGAATCAAACCTAGGTCCTCTGTAAGAGGGCCAGCTAGAATTCCAATTCCAGGGCATACGATCCCTGCTTCTGGCCTTTGTGGGCACTGCAAGCACGTGGTGCACAGACATACATGCAGGCAAAACATCTATATACATAAGATAGATGAAATATTTTTTTAAACTTAACAAATTATTTTATATATGTTTTTTGATAATTTAACAAAGCTTAAACTTTTGCTAATAGAGAAGTTGGCACAAAATTTAAATATTTTAATCAGATGGTGGAAGCACTTGGGAGGCAGAGGCAGATGGATCTCTGAGAGTTCAAGGCCACCCTGATCTACAAAGCAAATTCCAGGACAGCCAGGACTGTTCACAGAGAAATCCTATCTTAAAATTTTTTTTAATGTTTTAATTTTCTGAAGTTATTATTTACCAGGCGTATATTGTATACATATTCTTTTTTTTTTATTATGCATACAATATTCTGTCTGTGTGTATGCCTGCAGGCCAGCAGAGGGCACCAGACCCCATTACAGATGGTTGTGAGCCAGCATGTGGTTGCTGGGAATTGAACTCAGGACCTTTGGAAGAGCAGGCAATGCTCTTAACCTCTGAGCCATCTCTCCAGCCCCCTGTATACATATTCTTAAGGCTGGGTGCCATGTCCTTATAGAATCAGCAACACTTATCAGATGCCGATAGGGATATAAATGCAAGTTCATGTAGTACATTTGTGGTGAAACCTGAGGCTCGGCTCTCAAAGCACCCAGATAATTGCTGTATTCCTGGTTTAGAGATTGTGCCTTGAGTGAGAAGGAAACATGTTAATCCCTGCTTCTGTTACTGAATAAGTCACACATGCATAGAGCAATCACAGGGAATAAGCCAATGAATTTCAAAATAATTCCATGATTATACATCATCTTTAAGTCTGTGTCAGGGAGCCATGTGCACCTAAGAGGCTGAGACAGGAGGATCATTGTGAGTTTCAGACAGTCAAGGCTACTAAGTGAGACCTTGTCTCAAAAGAAAAAGAATCAGAATGTGCTATACAATTAGCAGTAGAAAGATTGTTTGCTGGAGTCACCATGAAAGAAAAGTCAAACTAAAGTGGGTTTTAAGGCCCTAGTAGGGTATATAAAAACTGAAATAATGTTCTAGTACAGGGAACAGGATAAGTAGAAAGCATGAACTACAAAAGAAAACAGAAATAAGGGTGGTTAGAAATTGGAAGTACTAAGATTAAGTTGAAAAGCGTAAAGGTTTTAGACTTTGTCATTTTATATCTTGTTATAGTAGTCGTTTGAGAGTTGTGAGTTTCCAAGCAGGGATGTGTTCTAGGAAAGACGAGTGAAAGACTGCAGGGGAGTTGCAGAGAGCATAGGAGCGGGACTGGGAGCTGCTGGAACGCGTATAATGTTACTTCATATATGCAGTTTCATTTTGCTTGAGCCATATTTTAATAAAATGGAGACAAACTATATTAGTCATAATTGAGTCTGTTTTTAATTATTGAGGTGGTGCCTCAGGATCTTGCATTCCCTAGGGGTTCTCAAGAGCATCTTTTATTAATTTGCATTTGGTTCTGCTTTTCTCTAGGACTTGGGAGTTTGTAATGAACTTGCTGTATAGGAGAATGCTGAAACAGATGGCTTATCAGTGCTCCATCTCACCCTGTGGGCATGGGATAATAGTACCACCTAGGGCACTACCAAGTACAGTTCTGCATTTAAGTTCTCATTTACCCAAGACTTAAAATACTGTACTATTTTTCTTTGGTTAACAGTTTTTAGAGCCGAAGACTCCAATACCCATAGACATCTGACTGAATTTGTTGGTTTGGATATTGAAATGGCTTTTAATTATCATTACCATGAAGTTGTAGAAGAAATTGCTGATACCTTGGTGCAAATATTCAAAGGACTTCAAGAAAGGTTAAAATTATTTAATGTCTTGAAGTGGCTTCAATTTCAAAATAATTGCAGTTGTTTTGTTTTGTTTTGTTTTTTGGTTGGGGAATGATAGGGAATGATACAGTTTCTTGTATAGTTTAAGAAAGTTTCCAAAACTTGTTCTAGATATCTATTCTTTCTCTGAGTGTTTGAAATGAACCAAGATTGTGTCTAATTATATGGACTCAAATAGTTTTGTTGCTAACCTCTTAAACATAAGGCAACAGTTTGAAAAACAGCCTTTTTTCTATATTTTACAGATTATTTGGAAACCATTTGTTGTTATGTCCCTTGTAATTTAGACTGTCAGGCTTGTGCCATATTCCACTCATGTTTATGCTGCAGAGTAATATATCAGTAAAGAACTATCAATGACTCCAAGCATTAAGAGACATGAGTAGGGATAAACAAAGGAACAGTCATTTCCAAATCAACGACTGTACCAGGTGTGGCACACACCTATAATCCCATATGGGAATAAAGATTTTTTTTTTTGCTTTTTAGTTATGCGTATGTGGAGGTAGTATGATTATATATGAATGCAAATGTCCTCAGAGTCTAGAAAGTGTCAATTTCTCTAAAACTAGAGTTACAGGTGGCTATAAGCCACCTAATGTGGGTAATAGGAACTGAACTTAGATCCTCTGCAAAAGAAATTTGTGCTTATAACCACTGAGCCATCTCTCCAGCTCTTATTTTTAAAAAGTTTTTAAATTAGGGACACTAAGCCTCACAAATCCTATGTGCTTAGTACGTTGTTTTAGTCATTGCCAATGTATGGCTAAAAAATTGTATTGTGCCTATTTCCCTTGCCCCTATTTGAATCAAGTCTATTATCATCTCATCCGTAAACATTTGAGCAAAAATTTTTAGTCTTAATTAAATAAGCCAGGTATAGTGGGATACACCTTTAAATGGCAGCATTTGAGATCGTGACAGAGAGGATCACAAGTGTGAGGCCAGCCAGGACTGCACAGTGAGATCCCTGTTTCAGAAAAAAGAAAGAAAGAATCCTTCACTACTGAAACACAGTTCCCTGCAGTTATAATTTGTGCAGGTACTGTGGGGACATCACAGAAGGAGGGAAGTAGCACCTAAATATCTTAGAAAGCGTGGTGGGAATGGCAGAACAAGGCAAACACTTTTTAGTGTCCTCTTCCTAGATGGAAAGAAATGATTAATGATTAAAATCAGATTTTTTTTATTGAGAATAAGAAAAAAAAAGTTTCCGCCTCCTCCCAGCCTCCCATTTCCCTCCCCCTCCCCCCACTCCTTTCCCCCTCCCTCTCCAATCCAAAGAGTAGTCATGGTTCCCTGCCCTGTGGAAAGTCCAAGGTCCTCCCCGCTCCGTCCATGTCTAGGAAGGTGAACATCCAAACTGGCTAGGCTCCCACCAAGCCGGATCATGAAGTAGGATCAGAACCCCTTGCCATTGACCTTGGCTTCTCATCAGTCCTCATTGTTCGCCATGATCAGAGAGTCCGGTTTTATCCCATGCTTTTTCAGTCACAGTCCAGCTGGCCTTGGTGAGCTCCCAATAGATCAGCCCCCACTGTCTCAGTGGGTGGGTGCACCCCCCGTGGTCCTGACATCCTTGCTCGTGTTCTCCCTCCATCTGCTCCTCATTGGGACCTTGGGAGCTCAGTCCAGTGCTCCAGTGTGGGTCTCTGTCTCTATCTCCATCCATCACCAGATGAAGGTTCTATGGTGATATGAAAGATATTCGTCAGTATTGCTATAGGATAGGGTCATTTCAGGTTCCCTATCCTCAGCTTCCCAAGGGACTAACTGGGGACATCGCCTTGGGCTCCTGGGAGCCACTCTAGGTTCAAGTCTCTTGCCAACACTAAGGTGGCTCCCTTAACTAAGATATGTGCTTCCCTGCTCCCCTATCCAACCTTCCTTTATCCCAATCTTCCTGTTTCCCCAAGTTCCCCCAATCCTCCCCTTCTCACTTTTCTCTCCCCGTCCCCCCTTATCCCCAAAAATCAGATTTTTTAAATGCCTCACAGAATATATATTTTTGTTTCTAACAGTGTTAACTGATAGGAGTTGTAAATAAAAAATTTAATCCTTTAATGCCACTGTGATTTGAAAAAAATAAAAAACTTGAAACAAAGAAATGGAATTAAGTATTATAAGTAGTACTTTATTCTTAAAAATTTGATGATGCTTCTTTTGGTACAGTCATAGGTTCAAAGACTGATTGCTTACAGTGACCTCTTGTGGAAGAAACATTTAACTAACGTTTTATTAACTGAAACATTGAACATACAGGTTTCAGACTGAAATTCAAACTGTGAATAAACAGTTCCCATGTGAGCCCTTCAAATTTTTGGAGCCAACTCTAAGACTGGAGTATTGTGAAGCTTTGGCTATGCTTAGAGAAGCAGGAGTTGAAATGGGAGATGAGGAAGATCTAAGGTTGGTCTCGAACTTTTTTCTTTTTTAACTTTTATGCCTAGGCTTAATGTATTTTGCCTAACAGATTACAATTAACTTTGATATATTGTATAATACTGCTTTATAATAAAGATTACAAAGTATATTTAATATTGTTTGCGTAGGCTTCAGTAATTTTGTTAACTTTTCATTTTGCTCCCTATTTATAACCTTTCAGAAGACAAATCTAGTGGCACAGGCCAGTAATCTCAAATACTCGGGAGGTGGGTTAGGCAAGAGGTTTACCAGTACAAAGTTTGCCTCGGATACAGAACAAGTGTTGGGCCAGTCTGAGCAGCTTCAAAATGAATGAAAAGGAGATCTGGAGGGATGACTCAGAGAATAAGAGTCTTGCTATTCTTGCAGAACACATGCAGGCAAATTTCTTTTTGTTTGTTTGTTTTTCAAGACAGGGTTTCTTTGTGTAACAGCCCTAGGTGTCCTAGAATAAGCTCTTGTAGACCAGGCTGGCCTCAAACTCACAGAGATCTGCCTACCTCTGTCTCCTGGGTGCTGGGATAAACGGCGTGCACCACCACCACCCAGCAATAAATAATCTTTTAATAAATAAATAAACATGTTAAGGACTGGAGAGATGGCTCAGCAGTTAAAAGCACTTGCTGCTTTTTCAGAGGATCTAGGTCTTGGTCCCAGTACCCAGATGGTGGGTTACAACCATCTGTAACTCCTCTTCTAGGTGATCGGTTCATGGCCTTACAGGACACCAGGCATTCATGTAGTTCACATACATATATGCAGGCAAAACAGTCACACATAAAATATTTCAGTATTTTTAAATATTTTAAAAATATTTTGCTGTGCAGTGGTGGCGCACGTCTTTAATCCCAGCACTTCGGAGGCAGTGGATCTCGGTGAAAGCAAGATCCAGGACATCCAGAACTGTTAAACAGAGAAACCCTGCCTTGAAAAACGATAGATAGATAGATAGATAGATAGATAGATAGATAGATAGATAGATAGGTAGGTAGGTAGGTAGATAGATAGATAGATAGATAGATAGATAGATAGGTAGATAGGGTGGAGTACACCTTGTAACCAGCACTCAGGATGCAGAGGCAGGTGGGCCTCAGTTCAAGGATAGCCTGGTCTATTTAGTGAGATCCAGGACAGCCATGGCTATACATAATTTATAGGTGGAGGAGTAGAAGGCATGGCTCAGTGGTAGAAGCTTACTTACCTTACGTAAGACCCTATTTTCAATCCCTAGTAATATAGAACAAAGAAGAATGAGGAGAGTTTTCTCTGGTTTGGTTTGGTGGGTTGTTTGCAACAGGGTCAGTCTGTCCTTGCTGACCTGCAGCTAACTAGTAGACCAGGCTAACCTTGAGCTCACAGAAATCCACCTGCCTCTGCCTCCCAAGTGCTGGGATTAAAAGCATGCACCACCACACCCGGCTTTTGCCTATGATTTTTATTTGTAATGTTACTTCCCTTTTAAGGGTAAAGAAAATTCTAACTCACCCATACAGGATTGGGCATAGAAATACTAATGTCTATATGTTGTCAGTATGCTGTATTTTGTTATCTAAATCTAATTCTACTCCTTACAATTTAGGAATAAATTGCATACTAAAGATAGAAAGTTGCTATCAACATACATTTCATTCAGAGATTCCTGATTAAAATAGTTAAGTCATTACAGTAGTTCATAGTAGATATGTGGAAGAGAAATGTGGTGGTTGTCTTTTCTTTCCCCCCCCAAATATACTTTACTCCTAGTCCATTATTTATTTGTTTATTAAGAAGAATACGATTTTCAGCATACCCTTTATTGCTAAAAGAAGCCATAAATTTTATAATTAGTTCAATTTAAGCAGCATATTTTAGGCATCTTGAGAATTGTTGAGTGACATAGGTGCTAAAGAAGGTACCTGTTGGCCCCAGATTGTCTTTAAGGACGTGGGTATACTGGTTGTCATATTACAAACCTTTGTGAAGTAACAACAAAAAGAGACTATTTAATAACAAAATCCTCCAGTGCTGGCTGACTGGATTTTTATTTCACATAATTATAGTAAAGTGAAAACAGTACAGTAAAACAGTAAAGTTTCCCTCCTGTTTCTGGATCAATGGAATGTTTAGTTGTGCCTGGTTGAAAAGGTTGGAGCAGTGTGTATGTGCGCCAAGTATCTGAGGGAGGTGAGCCTGTAGGTGGCTTCCTGAAATGCTTGTCTTAGAAAGGAGCAGATAGCTGACAGTGTGTTTGAGCCAAGTTTTATTTTTCTTTAAGAACCTCAAATTAAAAGGAGCCTTACTAATTTAAAAAGTATTTTAAGTTATTACTTGGGGGAGTGGAGAAATGGTTCGGTGGTTTAAGAACTATTGACTGCCCTTCCAGATATGTGAGTTTAGTTTCCAGCACTTATATCAGGCTGCTTCACAACTCTCTGTGTAACTCCAGCACCCACTCACAGACACACAATTAATACAAATATTAAAGAGCTAAGATGTTTGTGTTAAGCTGGGTGGTGGTGGCACACATCTTTAATCCTAACACTCAGAGGCAGAGGCAGATTGATCTATGTGAGTTTGAAGCTGGCCTTGTCTACAGAGGGAGTTCTGGAACAACCAGGGATATTACACAGAGAGACCCTGTCTCTAAAAACCAAAATAAAAAAACTTTCTGTTTCACCTTCAACCACTAGTTTCATGTGTCTTTTTTTCAGTACACCAAATGAAAAGCTGTTGGGTCGTTTGGTGAAGGAAAAGGTAGGATGTTTTCTTTTTGTTGTTGTTTAATCGGAAATGTACCTTAAGAAGAGGCAGCAATAGCAGAATATTCTATCATCTTCTTACAGTGTTATGTTTCCAGAGTTAGTGAAGTGAACGGTACTTTTGTTCTTAGAAAGGGGGGGGGGGCATTTAGGCAGATTTTGACCAACAATTTGATTAATTCGGTGTGTGACATTTGTGCAGTCATACTGAAGTACCTCTAAAGGACACTTGAGATTTTCAGATTAGTGAGGAAGGGCGCTAAACTACAGAAGGTCTTACCTGTGCACTCTTGCTCTTATTTTCTAGAACTAAAGCCAAAGGACATAAAGCTTAGCCTAGTTGTGTTCTTTTTAATAGGACACTAATTTAATGTTTAGAAAGTCTTTGAGCTCCCCCTGCTGGTTGAGCTTTTTCTGAAGTCTACAGTGTTAGCCAGACCTTGAGCTTGCTCTTTCAGCAATCGCCACTCTGCTGCCATTCTCTCCCATCAGTTTTAACAAAGGGGAATGTAATCAAATAAAAGTTGGAGTGTAATTTCTTTTTACTGAAGCTTGTGAGGTAGTAAGAAAATGTTAAACACTGTAACTTTTATTTTAGTAGCTTCCATTTGAAGAACATTACCCAATTTTACTTAGATATTTAAACAAAAAGCTGTGTTTATTAGGGAAATAATTCAGGTGGGGTATATTAATATAATAATTAATACTTAAATTTTCCATAAAATATTGTAAATACTTAACACAGTTTCTTTCTTTTAATAGTATGATACAGACTTTTATGTTCTTGATAAATATCCATTGGCTGTAAGACCTTTCTATACCATGCCTGACCCAAGAAATCCTGTGAGTAATTTAATCTCAAATCACCTATTTGTGGGGAAGAAAGAACTTTCTAGTAACCATATTTGAATGCTGTACAAAATTAGTCCTGAGAACCTAAATTAAATTAAATCCTATTCCTACATCAATTTTCCTAAAGATTTATTGGTATTATAGATGCTAAATATAGCACTAGATACTCAGAGGTTAGGGAGGATCTCTTTTGACTTTGAACTGGGGATTCACCTTTCTAATTTTTACACTAAGGTGGTAAGTTGTGTTTTCATTTGATAGATTTGAAGAAAATGAAAGCTTGCTTTATATTTTATATTTAGTAATCCAGATGATCTTATGGATTTTTGTTTTTCAGTATTTCCCAACCCTTAGTATACATGAACCCTCTAGAGAACTTGGGGTTTGTTTTGTTTGTTTTCTCTTTTTTCCCTAATAAAAAGTCTTACTGTGTATCTCTGATTGACCTGGAATGTGCAGTGTAGCCTAAGCCGGCCTGGAACTCAGGTGTCTGCCTGCCTCGGCTTCCCAGGTGTACACCACCAGCACCAGACTGGAGGGGTTTTGAAACACAAATGCTGAGCCCTACTCTTAGAGTTCCTAATCATTGATTGGGGCAGGTTTAGAGGTCAGCATTTATAACAAATTACGGGTAATGCTGAAGTGATCTCGGAATCGGGGCCATTGTTTATGTGAAAGTTAAAACTGGTGGTGTCAAATGCCTGATAGGCCACAAGTTAAGCATAGGTTAATTCAGTTTTAGTTTAACTTTCCTTACAGGTTTTCTAAAATAGACTACTTGCTTACTGGTAATTTACATTCACAATTGACCAAAATTTATGTCATATTTCAAAACTTTTTAGGAATAAAGTAAAATAAAAAGCAGCACCACAGCTTTAGATGTGGTATTCTGGTTAGTAGGAGGTGTGGTAAAGAGAAAATGGAAATCTAAACAGAGAACAAAAACTGCCCTTAGCAGTTCTGCCATAAAGAGGAAATGGTGTTGAAGGATAGTCATTAACTAGGAAAAGAGCATGGATTTTTCTCCCCACATGTTTATCATGGGAAAGTGTGATCACATAGTACTTGAGGAATGGTGGAGGTTCATTCATTTTTCTTCTGCAGAAACACTCCAACTCTTATGACATGTTCATGAGAGGAGAAGAAATACTGTCTGGAGCACAAAGAATACATGATCCTCAGTTGCTAACAGAGAGAGCTTTGCACCATGGAATTGGTAAGTAATTTGAAATATCTGGAACTGTGTGTCTTATGAAAATAATGCATTGTAAACATCTTAAAGATGTCTCATAAGTCATTTTCCCCCAAATCTTCACTGTAGTGATACTTCTTTTATGATAAAATGATAAATTCTGTTTTCGTTTTATAGATTTGGAGAAAATCAAAGCTTACATTGATTCCTTTCGATTTGGAGCCCCTCCTCATGCTGGTGGAGGCATTGGTAATACTGCTATTACTTATAAATAATTTTATAAACGCAACTGAAGAACAAGTTTAAAGGCTATAGAAGAGGCTTAGAAAGACGGCTCAGTGGTTAAGAGAACTTGCTGCTCTTGCAAAGGACCTGAGTTCAGTTCACAACACCCATGTAGCAGATCACAACCATTTAAAATTCCAGTTTCAGGGGACCTGATTTCTTCTTTTGGCCTCAGCAGGCTTCTGCACACATAGTAGGGCACATAAACTCACATGTACTCACATATTTATGTAAATAAAATAATTTTTAAAGATCATAGAATGGTAATTTTTCCCAGTGATTAGAACAAAATTGATATTTACACGTCAGAGAATAAAGTTAAACCCTTACCTCCAGATAAAAGCAGTAATCCAAAATGAATCAAAGACCTAAAGGAAAGGTCTAACACTAGAAAACTGTTAGAAGAAAACAGAGCAAAAGCATCAGGATATTGAATTTGGCCATCTTTTCTTTTTCTTTTTATTATTATGTATACAGTATTCTTGGTATTCTGTCTGCATGTATGCCTGCAGGCCAGAAGAGGGCACCAGATCTCATTACAGATGGTTGTGAGCCACCATGTAGTTGCTGGGAACTGAACTCGGGACCTCTGGAAGGGCAGACAGTGTTCTTAACCACTGAGCCATATCTCCAGCCCTTGGCATGTTTTCTTAGATAGAGTACCTATGGCACACACAGCAAGATGATTAATAGCAAAATTTAGTTTAGGGAAAAATTTTAAACTTTGTGCATAAAAAAATACTTAATTGCACAGCAAGTACAAGACTGGGTTTGACCTCAGCATTTAAAAGTGGGGGAAAGGAAATTGTAGTATATAACTCAATGCGAGCCTTGTCTGCACAGTTCCTTCATTTGATCCCCAGCACCAACTTTGGAAGCAGGGGGCAATTGGGGAAAGAAAGTAAAGAGGGGCTGGGAGATGGCTAAAGTTGAGAGTACTTGCTACTCTTTCAGACCACTGGAGGTTGAGTTCCTAGTACCCACATCAGGGGCTCACAGTCACCTGAAACTTCAGCTCCAGATCTGATGACCCTGCAGGCTCCTGAAGACACGTGCACACACAGACATGTTTAAACAGAGAGAGAGACTGTAAAACGACAGCCCGCATAGCGGCAACAAATATTTACAGGTTATATATGCGATAAGAGATTAATATCCAGAATAAATAAAATTCGAGTTCAAAATGGGCAAAGGACCTGAATAGAAATTTCTCCAAAAGAGGATGCAGGTGGTTGGTGAGCGCATGAGCAGGCATGAGCAGTCATTGGTGAAGTATACCTTCACACAGCTAGGATGGCTGCTATCTTAACATACAATAATTAGCACTAGGATGAATGTGCAGGATCAGTTTGCCCGCTGCAGAAAACAGGATTATAGTTCTTCAAAAATAGAGATTCATTTATCATAGGAACCAATAGTCCACTTCTGTGTTTATACCCTAAAGAAAAATTTACCATGTGATTTATCATTCCAATTTTGTGTGTGTGCCCGAAAGAATTGGAAATGACACACCAAAGAAGTATTTATGCATACATACATCTTCACAGTGGCTGAGACATGGATGCAGCTGGGTGTCCATCATGGGTAAATGGACCAGCAGAATGTGGTGTTGGATAAGGATCCTCTGTGTGACATGATCAGGACCAGACTTGTATTTTCTTGGCTTTTAGAATTATTTCATAGACTTTACCATTGAGATTCTTTTGCTGCTTTGATGCTACCAAATATTTAGATTTTAGAACATCTGAATTTCTGGAATAAGGTCTTTAACCTATATGGCCAGTCAGTGTTAAAAAGAAAGAAATTTTGCAGGGTGTGCTGTAAACACCTTCAATCTCATCACTCAGGAGGTAGAATCTCTTGAGTTTGAGGTCACCTGGTCTAGAGAGAGAGAGAGAGAGAGAGAGAGAGAGAGAGAGAGAGAGCGAGAGCGAGCGCGAGCGCGCGCACGCGCGCGCGCAAACTCCAGGGCTGTTTGTTACACAGTTAAAAAAGAAAAAGAAAGAAAGAAATTTTGTTGTTCTGAAGTATAGATGAACTGTGGAGATGATATATGAATGAATGATAAACAAATGAATAAATTAGCAAAAGGACTAATTCTCTATGATTCTACTTTGCTGGAATTTTAGAATAGTCAAGTTCAGAAGCAGAGAATAGATTGGTGAATGCCTATATCCAGGGAGGAAGGAAAAGAATATTTACGAAATATAGAATTTTGTGGGTTTTTTTCTTTTTTTAATGAGAGATGCTTTATAAAATAATATGTTCCACCAAAAAGATAGTATAACTGGCAAATGAGAGGTTTTCAAAAAGGATTAACTGTCATTTTCTTATTCACAGGGTTGGAAAGAGTGACAATGCTGTTCTTAGGATTGCATAATGTACGTCAGACATCGATGTTCCCTCGTGACCCCAAACGACTCACGCCTTAAACCACACTTTTTATTCTCTCTAGTAATCTGCTGTTGATCAGGTTACACCTGAGGTAGTTAAGATATGCAGTAAAATAACTGTCTTACTAAAGTGCCACGATTCTTTTTTAAATACTTCAGTACAAATTAACTTAAGAAAAAACATTTTGAACTTCAGATATATTTCAGTAGGACATGCTTGAACATTTTAATAGAACTTTCTATGGTGAAAATCTGTAGTCTATCACTATAGAAAATGTTAAGGAGACTTTTAAGCAGTTTAAGATTGTATAATTTTTTTCTTTTTTTTTTTTTTTTTTTTCGAGATAGGGTTTCTTTGTGGCTTTGGAGCCTGTCCTGGAACTAGCTCTGTAGACTAGGCTGGTCTCGAACTCACAGAGATCCGCCTGCCTCTGCCTCCCGAGTGCTGGGATTAAAGGCGTGCGCCACCATTGCCCGGCTTTTTTTCTTTTCTATATTATGGTAGCCACATACTAATATCCTAAATTTTCAGTATTTGTACTTTTAAATGATGACATTGAGAAAAAGAAATTGGAGAAATAACCAAGATTTTAACATATATAAGATAGATAAGTCACAGAAAATTAGAGTATGAGTTTAAAGTTATCTGCAGCAATCATGTGAGGCAAGTGAGAACACTGGCTAGAAACAGTAACACCAAAACACTTCAGTTCTGATGTTGGAATTCAATAAAACCCTAAAGCTAATGATGGTTTTGTGTGACTTTGTAGAAATTTGATTTTATAACTGGTTGTTGGCATATATACATTGGGAATAAAAAATAAACTAGCCTTATGTAAACATTAGACAGGGAAAGTGCTACAGAGCCAAGGGCACGTGACAGTGTGTGCCTGTAATTCTAGCATTAGGGATGTGTGGACAAGAGGGCCAGCAGTTCAAGATCATTCTCTGTTACATGAGAGCCTCTCTCAAACGAAAAGAAAGCACATAGGAGAGTAACCCAAACATGTAAACATGTAAATATCTTAGAGTGTATTGGTTGCATTGAGAGAGAATGTACCACGAAGAAGCACTGGCAACAGTATGATCTGGTCTGTCATGATCACTGTATACTGGGTACACCTCCATTGTCCTATCTGCCAAAGCAGGAGTTGATGCTGTGCTCTGCCGTAGCACCATTCCTAGAGAAAACATCCATTTGTAGAAGCTGGTGCTGCCAGACACTTCCCACCTGGAAAGGGGTAGCAGAGTACCTTAGCCTAGACACAACACATGTTCCATGATATTTTCTCTCCTGCCTGTGAAGCTTGTTCCAGAGACAATGATAGGGCTCATAAAAACTTGGTGTGCCAACATTGAAACCCTGTGCTATATAGTTTAGGTTGGGTCCTACTTTACCACAAAGTAAAAACAATACATTGGGGGTTTGTAGATCAGGAACTGACCTTTAGCTAAACTCCTTTATGTGCTTTTTCAAGCTTGACTATAGGTGAACCCAAAGCTTCAAGTCCCCAAGCCAGCCATGCCCTTTATCCCTTTATCTCCACCTCTCATGGACCTCTGCTGAGAGACCCTGTGGAGGGAAAAGAGGGAATCTCTGTGCCAGTAAATAGCTGTGAATGTGGCCCAAAGCATTTGTAGATGACATCATAATTGAAACTGTTAGGAAAATCTTAAGACAAGCTGCTCCACTGATACAAAAGAACTCTAATCAGACCAGATCAAACCAAATTAAATGCCCATGTTTAATAGATGGCACAGTCCTGGGTGGCCGGGAGAGCGTGGTGAGGAAAAGACAGAGGGAACACACATGCAAACCCAAAACCACATGTTCCTTGTTCTGGCGCAACCCTAAATATCGTGTGGGAGTGGTCAGCATTTGCCAGGCTGGGAGTGACACTTCCAACTCAATATTACATTCCAGCCTCTGGATATAGGGGTGTTAGAGGACTGGGGTCTCACTTTTGACCAAACAGAAACGTCAAAAAGTTAGAACGTTCCTGCTTTATAACAGAGTGATAATAGGACTTTGTGAAGGCTTTGTCAATACCACCATGAAGAAACTTGTGCATGGAGAGGGCACCATACACCTTTGCAAGCAACTTAAAATTTATAGTCATTAAGTGAACTGCAGGGTTCAGGATACAGAAGTATGATGTAGGTGGGTCTCTATCTGTTGTTTCATTGGTTAATAAAGAAACTGCCTTGGCCCTTTTGATAGCCAAAATTAGGCGGAGTAGACAACAGAATGCTGGGAGGAAGTAAGGCAATCACCATGCGTCTCCTCTCTGGGTCAGATGCGATGAAGCTCCAGCCCAAGATGGACGTACACTAGAATCTTCCTGGAAAGCCACCACCTTGTGGTGCTACACAGATTATTAGATATGGGTTAAAGCAAGATTTGAGAGTTAGCCAGTAAGAGACTAGAGCTAATGGGCCAAGCAGTGTTAAATGAATACAATTTGTGTGTTGTTATTTCTGGGGCTAAGCTACCTGAGCGGGAGCCGGGTGGAACAAAAAGCAGGCCTGCCCACAGCTCCTTCTACAGAAGTACAGGAGTCACTACTCATTGTATCTCCCAGTGCGGGATTCAGTTGCATTTGTTCATCCTATTGCTAGAGTCTGTGGGTCTAGATGTCTATGTTCCCAAAGAGTTGACACCAGTTAGGAGACACATGAAGGAAATGTCCCTGGAAATGTGAAGGTACTGCTCTGCTCTGCCATTCTAGAAACCAGCAGTCAAAGGCTTAGAACTACAACACAATTGGTAGAGGGCTTGTATGAAACCCTGGTTTTGATCCCCAAGCACTGGAGTGTATACCTGTAACCTAACATTTAGGGATAGAAGCAGGAAGATCAGAAGTTGAAGACTATCCTCAGATACAAAGGGAATTTCTGAGCTACAACATACTGTCTCAAAAACAGTATCAATGTTTTCCTGCTGATTATCCAGGTCTGGTGATACACACCTTTATAATACATACTAGAAAGGTGGAGGCAGAAGCATCTAAAGTTTTATTTCAGCCAGGGCTGCATAGTAAAACCCTGTCTCAAAGTGGGGGAAACAGCCTTATCATCAGAGACGCTTCCTCTTGTAATGGATGTGGACTAACATGGAAACCCACAATAGGACAATAGAGTGAGAGATTTTGGAACACTAAATAAATAGTAAATGGGTCTTCACCAAACCCCTCCCTTCAGAGTTCAGGAAGCTATATGGAAAAGGAGTAGGAAGACTTATAAGAAGAAATTATAAGGGATTGTAAGGAGATGGGTGACACCAAGGAAACAGTCTTCCAGACACAACAGGACTGATACACACAGGATTGTAAAGGAAAAAATATTTTCTCTAGTAGAGTTTCTTTGGGTATATTAACCACACAAAAAGGTAGGCCCCATACCCAGCATTGATGAACAACTCAAACTCAGTGAGATTTCTTTGTAGCATTGCTTTATTTGGGTATTTTTGTCTTACTGGTCTTTTGCTTGTATATTATTCAATGGAATAAAATAACTTGAAAGTAATGATATCACATATACCCTGCTATTCATCTCTACCACTCCCGTGCCCCATGATACCTTTTTACCTTCCTAGTGCCTTGGGTGTTCCAGGTTATATTCTCACATAGATGAGAGAGAACATGTGGAGATAGAAAAAATGAGGTAGGGAATAAATACTAAAGATATTTGGGAAAGCCATAGAGTAACACTATTATTTAACTAAAATTACATGACATCTGTATAAGTGCATGCATGTGCATATAAGTAAGAGGCCACTTGTTTGTTTCTGACTGTTCAGCCCTGAAATAACCACACAGAAACTATATTATTTGCAATACTGTTTGGCCAATAGCTTAAGCATATTTCTGGCTAATTCATATCTTAAATTAACCCATCTCCATTAATCCATATATCGCCATGAGGCTGTGGCTTATGGGGCAAAGTTTTGGCATGTCTGTCTTTGGCAGCTCCATGACTTCTCATTCCACCTTCTTTCTCCCAGCATTTAGTTTAGTTTTTTCTACCTTCCTCTCTCTATTCTGCTCTGTAAAGGACCAAGACAGTTTCTTTATTAACCAGTGGTATTCACAGCATTCAGAGGGGAATACCACATGATATATATGTCGTTTAAATGATGTCATGCCACTGGGACTGACTGGTCTCCCCCAAGAGCCATACACTATATCAAAGCCAAATACCAGGCATGAGAAACAGCATTTTGAGTTTTTGGTCAAGAGAGTGCAAGAGACTCCCAAAACACTATAGGCTAGTGCTATTTCCCTTTGTTGCCTCTCAGAGGTTGAGGGTAAGACCCTCTTGCTAAAGACAGTTCGTTCACACAACTGTCTTGGATCAGAGGATCCAAGCTGGATTTGACATGAAAGTCTTCCTGGGGACTAGCTTTCATAGAACCATAAAGTGCTATATATGCAGTCAATATTCCTACCCTGCCATGATGCTTTTGAACCACAATAACAACAGCACAGCACGATACCCCTATGAGTGCAATAGTGAGGCACAGATCTTAGAGGAGAGCCTACCACCATCATTTCTAAGCCAACATAGTTCCCAGCTGTATTCTAAATACTAGTCCTTCTACCCGTGCTCACCTCTCCTCAAGGAAACTTCTCTTTGCTACCAACAGAGACCATTACAGAAAACCACAACTGTCAAAATACAGAGAGCAACAGTTGGTGAGGTGCCCAGCTCCAATGGGCACATCTATTATATAACTCCTGCACTTAGGTTCACAGAACTTTGCAAAAGAGGGGATGGGAAAACTACGAAAAATCTAGGAGACCAGGAAATTGGCTGTGGGATTGTGTCTCCTTGAAATGTCAGGAACACTTCACCCATTGATGCCTCAACATGGCTGCCTAAACAAGACTTGAACAAGGATACCAGTAGGCATGTTAACATGCAAGAGGAAAATCTTGCAGGGTGGTAGTGGCACATACCTTTAATCCCAGCACTCAGGAGGCAGAGGCAGGCAGATATCTGTGAGTTCAAGACCAGCACAGTCTACAAAGCGAGATGCAGGACAGGCTCCAAAGCTACTAGAAACCCTGTCTAGAAAAACAAACACACACACACACACATACACAAAGAGGGAAATCTCTCTTGGGGTCCTACCCCCTAGACAGAACTACAGGCAACTAAGGAATGCTGAGAGTGGGAGAAAAAGTCTTTACTAGGGATGAGCCCTCTAGTTGGTTATCCAATACTAAATGGTCAGTCCTGAAATCACAAAAAACATAAGCAATACTAAATTAACTCGGACCGGGCAGTGGTGGCGCACGCCTTTAATCCCAGCACTCGGGAGGCAGAGGCAGACAGATCTCTGTGAGTTCGAGACCAGCCTGGTCTAGAAGAGCTAGTTCCAGGACAGGCTCCAAAGCCACAGAGAAACCCTGTCTTGAAAAAAAAAAAAAAAAAAAAAAAAAAAAAACTCAGTAGTTATATGTTTATGTGTGTATGTATGTATGTAACAACAAAAGAGGCCATGAATTTGAGAGGGAAGAAAGGGAAGAGGGGAAATGATATAATTTTACTTTTACAAAATTTAATGCATTTTAAGTAACAATAATACAGAAAACTCTTCAAGAGACTGGCAGGAGAGCTCAATGAATAACGAAAGCCTGATGACCGAAGTTCAATCTTCAAAAACCACATAAAGGTGGAAGAAAAGAATTAACTCCACAAAGTTGTTCTCTGCTCTCTCTCTCTCTCTCTCTCTCTCTCTCTC